TATTCACTGGAAATATTATGGAAATCTAACGATAAATTAAGCAACAAAGCTATTTTATTTGAATATTTCACATAGCAATACAAAGTTTAATATAAAGTAAATATCCAACTTCATAGTTTTGCTGTATGAAATCAAATGAGAGTCATCTCTCGAGCGCGAAGGGTTAAATATGAAAGTGAAATAATTGAAATAAATTTCAATGTACTTCGTTTATAAATAATAAATTGAAATAAATCTTTGGACATACAGGTAGACCCTTTATGTAACAAATTATTTATTATCATAATTACTAAATAATAATTATAAATATTATTCTTAAATAAATATTATTAACGATTTAAGAGATTATTAAAAGGTTATTAGATAAAAATGATTTATAATTACTCCTTGACAGTTTGGTATTGGCTTCTAGCAGATCATTATAGATACAAGAAATGGCAATTGGATGGGCACGTTCTTACATCTGCTAAAAAGGTTAACTTCATCGAAATAAATTGAGTATCTATGGCCAAAACTGAGCATTTTGTTACCGCTGTTCAGTGAAACGAATAATGGAGTTAACGGTTTGTTACCATGCAAAAAGATACTTCATTGATGTTCATTCTTCTTACAATGTTTGTTATTCATAATGACCATATTATCTTCATAATAACTATGACTTGTTAACATCCTTTTTCGTACCTTATGTTTAAAATTTTATATACATAGAATAAGAACCATCGACGAGAATAATATACAATTAAATTATCCAACATTTATTATCAATTATTTACCTTTTTCTAAGAAAATATCAGACATTATTGCTACCATTTTTACTAAATTAAAGTATCAAATAAAAGTTTCCAAAATTTTCCTTTGTTACTCTAAAATAATCACTGCAGCATCGCAATGGCGAAGTTTTGTGATTTTGTAAGAACAAAAATAGGAAGTTCCCTTATTATTTTTTGTAGAATATAAGAAACTTAATTCTCTGTTACTTTAAAACTATCACTGCAACATCACAACGGTGAAGTTATGTGATATTGGAAGAACAAAAATAGAAAGTTCTCTTATTCTTTTTTGTAGAATATAAGAAACTTAATTCTCTGTTACTTTAAAACGAAGTTTTGTGATTTAAAAACAAAGACATAAAGTTTTCTTATCCTTCTTCTGTGAAATAGAAGAAATTTGTGTATCTGTTACTCTAAAATAATCACTGCAGCATCACAACGGTGAGGCTATGCTATTTTGTAAGAGCAAAGACATAAAGTTCTCTTATCCTCCTTTTGTGAAACAAAAAAAAATTTGTTTCTTTGTTACTTCAAAACAATCGCAACGGTATCGCGTCGCTCGTATGCAAAGAGCCTTACACAAGAACGGTGTAACAACAACGCAAGTATGTATGTACGTCGATGTCGAATGTTTCTTATTGGTTCGATTGTCCGGGCACTCCGATTTGACTTACTATCGACGGAAGGTTTCATTGAATAGCGCACCTCGAAAGCAAACCTTGTGGGAAAAGTTTCTCAAGAGCGCGTAACTTTCTCTGCGTTAGGCTGCTTTCCCAACTCCTTTCCGCCTTCGGACTGCACACTCTCAGTCAAGCAGAACGACATAAAAGTCACCTGCGAATTCGTCCTTCCGCAATTTCGTAGCGTCGAATTACAAATCAGAGTAATTCCTTTAATACCCGTGTTCCGACCGCCCCAAGGAATTGCCGTTACTACTTGCCTGCGCCTGGAAAGATTTCGTTCTGATAAAAGATAAGAATAACGAACGAAATTATCTTCAATTATTATCTAATTTATAATTTGCAGAAACTGAATTTTCTCTGGATCACGGATATTAAATTAAATTTTCTTCGAACGAAAGAGATTGAAGTAAGATTTTTTCAAAAGAGATCCAATTAGATTTTCTTTACATTGAAGAGATTGTATTAAGATCTAAATTAAAGAAATTGAATTAAAATTTCTTTGAATTAAAGAGGTTCGATTAAACTTTCTGTGCAGTAAAGGAATTCGATTAAACTTTTTATTAATTAAAAGTTAACGTTAGGTTTATGTAACCTGTTAATCCGACGGTTATTGAATTTTATGAATATTATTTGGTGAAAGTGTGCGTCAACTTCGATTGTTGCAATTGTACAAACAAGTATCTTAATTCCCTGTTTTTCAACGTCTGATGTCGAAAATCTAGGAACGATTACATATCTGCTTTTCTAGGAACATTAGAATCATGTGCACAGTAAACTTCCTAGTGTTAAGAGAAACGAAGTTTATTGTGCTATTGGAATTTGTTGCAACATCTTAATCTAGTTTAGATAATCAAAGGTTCTTTTACATGTATAGGGACTTGTGAAAGTACAGATTGTTCTCAGATGTTTATAGGTTCGATGTTGCCACATCGAAAAATGGAATTGAGAAAAACGAATTTTCAATTCTCATATATCTACAAGTTTATTAAAATTTCGAATATTGCTGGAATTTACTAAGATCATATTTTTAAAACTTTAAACATTAAGAAACGTAGAAAAAATGGGCTCTTATCACTTTAAAAACTGTTTACATGTGTTTATATACTTATACAGTTATAAACATACATTATTTTATTTTCGAGAATCCATAGAATTATTAAATATCATTTATATTTAACGAACAAATAATTTTTAAACTTGAAAATTTTATTTTATACTGAAAACCGAGTTTCTAAAAAATTATTAGAATTAATTTCCAATATTCATTTTGTCTGATATTTTATATAGATAGTTTCAACTAATGTCTTACGCAAGTTTTATGACTATATTATTTAAATCTCTCGTCAGTGAAATTTTCGAAGATCCAAGTCACCCAATGTTAATACAGAAAGGATAAATCACGGATTTAGGGCATTGTTCTAAATTGTGCAACGCCTGTTCAGCTCGTGACTTCGTTTTCTCACGCAGACCGTGCAGAACGTTGCACAAAGAACCCTTGTTCATGGAATGAATTATATGGTGTTGCTTTTCCGTTGCTCGAGGGTGCGTTAACACTAGAACAACCGTGCCCGTCAAAGTGACAGGTTTCAGTCTTCTTATTTCGCAATTATCGGTATTTTAAAAGTAACCCATATCCGAAATGATTTTTAAAATAAATTTCACTCAGCACTAGGTCTACAGGTATTTATTGCACAATTTATTCTATTGGTCTTAGAAAAATTTATGTTAATTCATTTAGATTTTGAAAATTAGATATTTAAAGATACACAATTAAAATACACGTTATTGCATCGATTAAAATTGAAAATAATGTTCGTAAACATTCACCAAATGATATTTGTAACCATTTACTAAATAATATTTATAAATATCTATTAATGTTTGCAAATATGAATTTTCATGCACATTTATGGCGATATAAAAATATATTTTTACAACGACTATAGTCGAAGCAGAAAAATATATTTGATTGAAGGTCTTAGAAACTATTAGATATAAATAAACTATTTCAAACAATTTAAGGAAGCGTGAAGAAATAAAAAAAAGACACAATGCTGCATCTATATAATAAAGAAATGCAACATTAACACTATTTCTACCGAAGGTGTCGAAAGACACCGTTTGAAATTTTAACTTAAAATTCTTTTCTCAGTTCAATCATCATCCCTCAATTGAATTTTGGACATTTATTATGATTAATTTTATAATCGTTATTGGAAAAGTCGGAAAGTCAATTCAGAATGTGCGACTAAACTTTGAAAATCATTTTGAATTAAAAATTCGAAAGGTGTCTGTTGACACCTTCGCTGGAAATAGTGTTAAAACCGTGGGTTTACCATCTTTCTCCTGTTACACATTCGTAATAACATTACGTGAAAGTATGACAGACTGGTGGTGGCTTAAGTTTCTTAATACTTCATTACACAAAGGCAATATATTTGTTGGAAACGTGAATGGTTCGGAAATTCCATAAAAACAATGCAATCCGGCGATTAAAGGAGTATTTAAAGAGTGACAATCGATACACGGTGATAGAACATTTAACAGCGGCGCCGTCGCAAGAAAAGCAACGAAAAAAAGCCGATTTATTAGTTGTAAGAGTTTAAACACCGATATTGCGTCACAATCTAGAAAAATTGTTAGTGGCCTAACTATAAGAAGTATATTACATTTTGCCGGTGCGTATGACAAAACGGCCAGAAAAAGACTATTCATTAATGGCTGACGTAGAAAGAAACGACCGAGATATGCGAAAGTAAATTTACAGAAACCAATTGACTTTTGGAAAAATTTCCAGACAGAGAGCAATATATTTCTTATGGTTTGACCGCTGACATTCGTTCTAAATTGTGACGCAATGTCGGTAAATAAGCACTTAGAGCTTATGAATAGGTTTTCCGTCGCTGCATTTATTAACACTTTGTTGTCTCGCAATTTGATGCAGAAACTATTCCACGTCATCGGTTATTATTCTGTAATTAAATATCGAAGTGAGACAGTCTAAAGAAACTTCAATATACTTTATTTATACGTAATGGATTTAAATGAAACTTTAGACATATGTTTTAGAGAACTTTCAATGTTTTGCTTTTGCAATATTCTATATTGCCCTGCGTTTTAAAAATTAAAATAGGAAATGCAAGTGCAAACACGAGCTTTTGAAAAACAACTTGTGATTAGTCAACAATGTGTTCGTCAATACTTTGTTCTGTTTTACAATTTAAGTCATATGAATTCGGAAACAGGACAGGTCTATTTTTTGGCACTGTATAAGTTATTGAAAATTAAATTGAAAAAAAGATTAAATAAAGTCAACTCGGTGCTGTATCTTTTAGTGTTAACGATGTCGGCGCTGAACATTCTATTGTCACACCGATCATCAGTGCTTGTGTACTAATATTAAACAATAATACTAAATACTAATACTAAATACTACGTACTTGTGGTTATCAGACGAATCACGAGGTATTTTTAAGCAGTAAACTATATTTTTCCATCGTATATTCTCGTGTGATATTAATTGAAACTTGTTGTGTCTGTTGACAAGGTCTTTTAGCAATTTCCCTCGGCGAGAAGACGGTTTCTCCCGCCGCTGAAACGGCGGAATCGTCTCCCAGCAATGCGGACGACATTGTCATGCTGGAAATCGACGTAAAGGAGCCTGTGAAGAGATCACCGATACAAGCCAGTACCGATTACGGATCTAATCAGTATAGTCTTCAGAGCGCTGACGCTGCACAACAGGTAACAAGTAGTTCACCAACATCATCTTACATTCCACGGCGATATTTTGTAAAATAAATTATATACAAAGAATCAAAGAATCATTATTATTAGACTGTGGATTTTTGTGAATTTACAAAGAATGTCAAAGTTCAAAGTTGCGCAAAATGCGCACAGCGAGTGGAAATATATAAAATATTCAAAATGTAATGCTGTTTACAATGTTTGCTTGAAAAAAACTAATTATGTACAAAGTATATGTAAAAATTAGTGTATGAAAAGAATCGTAATATTTTCATTCTACAAGGAATAATGTACACTTGACTTTGAAATGACCTTGACCTCTTCACCAAGAATAACTTCACCTATATGTTCTAATATCGCGTCAGACTTCTATTTTCTGATATTAAACTTCTAACGGTTTAAATTAATGTTCACAAACGACAAATTTAAATTAGCTTAAACTGTTTTAAGGAATAATATGTCAATAAGTCGAATGACGAAAGGAAGTATTTCTTTAAATGAACTTTATTTCCCTCGATATAATCTATTAAATGATCATCCATTTATAACAATTAAATAAAGTTTAAATATTTAAATATTTTATGCTGGCTCGCACAAAATTTGTCTACTTTAAGTTGATCTCGTATAGCACAACGAATACTTGGATACTCTATCGGTTCGCCCAAGCTCGTATGGTAGAGAATATTATATTCATAGTGGGATCCTTGATTAAAGATCAATGCCGGGGACAATCCATTGCAAGGCAAGACTACTATCTTTATCTTCCTACGATATCAAACTACCGTTGTTTACATTCTTCTATCGTAACCGAGCAATGCCCCTGCAATGTTAATGAACTTGCGATTGTCTGCAACTACGAAGATAACCAGTTGTCAACCTTTGTTTCTGCACTTGACATTCTTCCAGCGACGTGATCGATTAACTCAGTGAAGGAAACCTGACCAGACAGTCTAGAAAAAGATTTTTAACCTTTCCCCTACTTGATAAAAGCGTAAATAAAAAGTTAGCAAATGGAAGATCTCGAAAGTTTTTTTTTTTAGTAATG